GTGCTTTGGCAGGTGCTCACCCCTCCACACTGCCCCTCTTGTGCTGCACCATCCCCTCCTAGAGCTGGGGATTTGTATTCTGCTCCTGCCTGCAGCACTCACCCGTGGCCACAAGTACCTGGGAGCACTACAGGTGATGCAGCCTTGCAAGCAGTGGGGTCATTTCCATGTGTTTAATTAGGTAACTGTAGCCTGATGTTTTCTGCAGTCAAACCTACACAGAGACCAGCTTCTGAAGGCCTGAGTTCAGGTCCATGCCTTGGAAACCCTGATTCCTTGTCTTGGAGAACACAAACTGCATCCCTGCATCTCAGTGCTTATCGGGCAGATCCCAGAGAAGCAGGATGCTGTGCTTGGTGTTCCATGGTTCTGCTCTGCAGGGAAAAAGGATGAGTGTACCAGAAATCCCAGAGCTGGGGGGCACTGGGCACTGTCTGCTGAGGGGCCAGGGGCTCCCAGGCAGCTTCAGCTCGCAGATGAGGAGCAGGGGCTGCCCACTGCCCCCCTCTCCCTGTGAGGAAGCGCCAGCCCTGGGCTGTTAGCTCAGAGGTATCAGAGCTGGTTTTGTCTGCCCCACAGTCTCACAGGTCAGCTTTAATCACCCCCATTCCATTCCTGCCAGGTGCAGGGACCAGGCCTCAGGAGGAGGAAGAGGAGGAAGAGCAGAGGAGGTGCCCTGGGTGACCTCCCCAGTCACAGGAAGGACACGTCCATCCTCTCTCACTGTTGCTCAGCCTGGTTCCACCGCCAACTATTCCTAATGACACTTCAACAAACACACAACAATCTGTCTTCATGAAAACCAGTGAATAAATTTAATTTAAAAATACTTTTCTATTTCTGGACAGGCACCACTCTGCTCCAGCTACTTCAGAATCAGCTGAAGCCTTCACAGTACCCGACAGCCAGACTGCATAAGGCTGTAATGGCAAAACACAGCATTCAACCCTCTGTGAATTTAATAAACAGCTGCCCTAACCCCTCCTCTTTATGAAGTGTAGACAAGGTCTCAGTGTTCGGCTTCTATCCTCCAGCTAATGTGTATGTTCCTCATGAAGGGGAAAAAGGAAAAGAAAGCCTGAAGCACACAGCTGCCCGAGGGCTTGTCCCTCTGCGTGCCCCTCGGGGCTGGGAGCAGGGAAGTGGTGGTCACTGCCTGCTGCCCAGCACAGGAGACCAGGCATTGATTTGGGAAGTGGAAAATCTTAGAGAGGCTCTTTCTCTGCTGGCTGCAGGTCCCCACACTCTGCACATCCCTGCAGAGTCACGCTGGCCTAATTATGTCTTCAAGCAGACACAACTTATTTACTGAAGGTGCTGGGCTCTGCCGTGGGCACCGTGTGTGCCCAGAGCCCACGGCCGGCAGCCACTGCCCGCAGCACCTGCCATCCCCTGCCAGGAGCACTCCCAGCCTGGCCCTGGGGGTCTGCAGACACGGCAGGTCCTGCCACTCGGCCCTTCCAGCAGCAGCGCTGGGCGCTGTGCTTGTGGGTGGGTAGGAGGATGAGCTGCCAGCTCAGATCTATAATCTGTAGCAGCTTGTAAGAGGCACCCCCTCTCCCTGCCCTCCAGGAGCTAAAAACAGTCTGAAAGGTCCCTCTTCCCCCAGGAAGGAGGCATGTGGCATCCACTTGCACGGTGCAGAGTGGCTGAGGCTTTTTATACCCCCTGGAGGTGCTGTGCCCTCTCATGGCACACACAGCCCTGGCTGCAGCAGCGGCCACTGAACCCCAGCCCACTGCCCCTGCGGCACTGGGGGGTGCTGAGGACAAAGCATGCTTGCACTTTGCTATGGGATCCATTGGAGCTGTTTTCTGAGTCCATGCTGGAGCTGGGGGAAGCCAAAAGAGGCACCCCCTGGGGCAGACGTGTGTGCAGCCACTTGGTGTGGAAGCAAAGGTGGGCACATTGCTCTCAGTGCTGTCTCCCAGTTTCCAGCTCCATGATAAAGCTGTTTGAGTAACCCGGTCTTGCAACACGTATTTCAGCAGTTCCATCCCTTCAGCATGCATCCCCTGGGAAGCTGCAGAGGGCTCCTGTGGATCAGTGGGGCCGTGCCCAGGCAGAGGGCACGCCTGCCTGTCACCGCCTGCGGCCCCAGAGCAGCACCCCGCTGCATCCAGCCCTGAGTTAATTACAGCATCGGCACCAGAGACTGCTGAAATGAAAGGGAAGGATGAGCGGCTTTCTAACTCTGCCTTTATTTTTTAACCCAAATTACGAGTCACGTTGGAAGAGAGAGGCGGTGACAGATAATAAAGTTCAATGGCATGGTCTGAGTGTGAAGTGGAAAACCAGGAAAGCCTGACATCCTGATCCCAAACTGGACACCGATATGCTGTGTGGCCTCGTCTCCTGGTTTCCCCCATGTAAACTGGGGAGTGGGGGAGGCTTAGTCTGAGGGCATTCCAGAGATGAATTAGCTTTTGCCAAGTGCTTTGAAGATTTAACACGTTATATAAATGTGCTAGCACGGACAGCTTTTGTATTGCAGCAGTACCAGAGGATGCGGCCTGGATCGGAGCCTTGGCTGTTGTGCCAGCTCAGGAGCGGTGGGAAAAGCCCTGACCCCGCCTGGGTGATGAGTACCCTGTGCCCCAGGCACACAGAGTCACTGCCAGGCTCCGGGGAGCTCACCCACAGCACATCCCTGGTGGCATTCCCAAGAGATGGAGAGCACAGGGGGCTTCCTACAACCACCCATGCCATGGCAAACCCTCAGGGAGCCCCAGCCCCTGATCCCCTGGGACCCTGAGAGTGCTCAGCACTGCTGGATTCCCCAGCCTGGCTCCTCCTGAGCTGCCTGCGAGGTGACCAGGCTCTCCAGCTGTGGCCAGTGGTTTCCCTTGGGAATTCAGCAGGAGCTGTGCATTGCACTGTGTGTGTGCATCCCCCCCAGCAGAGCCTGGGGCCCAGGCACTGCTCTGAGAGTGCAGCTAATGCAGCCTGGCTGTTGCAGACCAGGAGAAGCCAAGGAGCACTCTGGAGATCTGACTGGAGGTGAGCAGGAGCCAGCATGCAGAGAACCCTCCACTCAGCTTTGTTTCCAGCACCTCCCCACTGCAGGGTAGTTCATAATTCTGTTTCCTCTCTAATCTAATGAAAATGCAAACTGTGAGTGCTAATCACAGAGCACATATAGAAAAGGATATGTAAAAAAGAAAACAACCTTCGCCACCTTTGTTTTCAGTCAAGTTTATGTCAGGAATCGCATTTAGAAGCACTGGCAGATGAGCTGGTGCTGCTTGCTCATTAAGCAGCCCAGCACACAGCACCGTATGACACGCTACAGAACAGCACCAGAGCAAGAGGAAACTGGAGATGGAGCAGAGAGGGCATTGGTTCCTGCCATTATCCTGAAGATCTCTGTCAACATTTTAGTTTAGCCAAATGGCCACTGTATTACAGAAATGTTTTGTTTTGACAGAATCATAATCTGTGCGGAGAACTCTTGAAAAAGCACATTAACCCTTTCTACACTGTACTTCTGAAGAATCCTGAGAGTAGGGCCGGCAGGGATGACTGCAGCCTGACGGCATTGTCTGAGACATCTTCGGATTTACAGTCTTGTCCTCTCATATTTGTAGTTCACTTATGTTGAAAACACAGGGCTGAAACACAAGGTTTGTAAGGAAAATGGTCTTGGACCTTAACTGCCCCTCCTGCTCTCCTTAGGCAATCCATCAGTATGTGCGAGCAGGCAGGCCCGAGATAGGAATTCAGCTGATAAAGGGAACGCAAATGGCAGGTGTCTGGGATGGTCCCCGGCCTCCCTTGCCGAAGGCAGCGCCTCGCTGTGCCCCTCTGGCTGTGCCGGAGCCGGCTCTCAGCGGGCCGGGCAGCGCACGGAGCCTGCCCGGGGAGCAGGGGCTGCCCATGCCCAGCAC